ATCATAATATCATTCCACTGGCGTTGATACATACCACTTATACCTTTTTCAGTTAATCCATTTTCTTTCCATTGTTGTAACAAACCCAAATTTCCAATACCATTTGCTTGATAACCAGCGAACTCATCCTCAAGGTTAGTCGTCATTTTCATTGCAAGACCAGGAGCAGCAACAGCATTTGCGCCAAAACTAATAGAATATAAGCTAGAAACTCCTGCTGGTAACAAAAGAGTATTTTCGCTTACTAATAAACTATTATTAGGAAGTTTTTCTCCAAATTCAACTCCTCCCCACCAAGGATCTATGTCACTAATATTAAGAGTTCCCTTTTCAATATACCATTGTGCTGGAATGGTTTGCACATCTGTTACATTAAATGCTCCTGTTGTGCTAGATTCCAACTTGATAGTCTTTACACTCGCTTCAACTACGCTAGCACAGCTGTATAAAGTTTGTTCAGTACCTCGTGTAGTTTGTATGGGAAATCCAAGTAATATCCAGCACTTAACACCGACTATATTTTCTGAAATATTGTCGTATATACTATATCCTTCACACCGAATTTCAGCATCCAAGTTAAGTGTATCATTAAATTCAATGTTATAACTTAAATAAAAACCAAGTAATTTTCCTGAATTAACAGTTTTTGGCTCATCAATTACAAAAACTGGTGACTCAAAAAAGGTCCCGTTTGCTGTCATATTTAATCCTTCCATAAGAAGATCTTGTATCATCCGACTATACATGATGCTTCTTGTTGGAAGATCAGTTGACTGGCCTCTATCACCAATTGGATTTATACCCAATGAATTTATATCAGTGTTGTTAATAACCATATAGCCTATCCAATCGTTGCGAGGTGAAGTGGAGGTAGCATTACTCCATGAAATCATCGTAAAATTTGTTGAATGACAACTGACATGTGGTTGCAGCCACATGCCTTGAATTGACCAGCTAAGACTCCCGTTGGCTTTTAAATTGGGTTGGATTACATTATTTACTAAAAATCCACCATTATCATGATCTACAACCATTGTGTCGATAATTCCATAACCCTCTTTCCGTACACTTGTTGTTACACTCAGCATCATAAAATCATAGGAAGGAAACGAAATATTATCATTGCCGAGAGTTTTCAACAGACGATATCTCATTGCATTGTTACTGTATGTTTTGTTAAAGTCAATTGCATATTCTTCATCAACATGCAATCCATCTTTCGTTCCTGGACATATTTGGTAGTCATCTCCACCACATACCCTAATGCTTGTTAGCTCCTTCAAAGAAAATGTGTTATTAACTGCATTACTCAATAATGGATCAGCCTTAATGACATCAACCTCAACAGACGTTATATCATTTGTCACTGCACACGTAGAAATACCAAGTGGTGCAATAGCTGATACTCCAAATAATGCTATTAAAGATATTCCAATGAGTAAGTAAAGTATATTACGTTTATATGATCCCACACCCCATAATAATAATCTAATTCCTGTTAAAATAGGTTGTCCACCTGCTCCATAAATGTTAAGTGGACTTTCTCCAATCACTTTGCTTAAGGTTGTCCATTCTAAAGCCGTCATTTTATTATTAATGTTTATTAATATTGATATGGTGCCAAACGCAGTAATAATAACTGGTAAAAGTGTGCTTAAAATACCAATCAGTCCAGCTAATTGACCAACATTTAATTCAATTATCAACATTTTTACGATTTAAAGGTTATAAAAAAACTGTATTGCAAATTTGTGCGTAAATGATTTGTTCTTATTGTTTATTTATTATTATAAATAACAGGGCTGTAATAAATTATCATTCACTTCGGTTACAATAAATGAATGGATTTATAATTTGCTATTTCTCCTTATTATTATGTACTCTTTGTGCTGCGCCACATTTTTTTCACGGATCTAGTTTGGTTATATTAGTAAGCAGGGAATCAGTTGAAAGAATAGAAAAAATCAAATTTAAAGTTTTATTGCGGTCATGAGGTCTAAAATTAGAATTTTATACGTAAATGGAATACTTTTTCTGCATTTTGTTTATGTGTAGATTTACATCCAATTCAAACTCACTCTAAATGCACGCTTCCTATTCATGAACTCGAGGACTTAAAGATAAATCTAAAACCTGTGTTATACTATAAATAATACCTTTTTTGTCATGTTTGATTTATTAGTTTTGTCATATTTGTTATAATAATATTGACAAACCAATTCAATGCATATGTATGTGAAACTCCTGATGGCGATTAAATTGTAATAAAAATGGATATAATTAAACCAAAAAAATAAAAATAAAGCGTCTAAAATTGATGTGTGCACAATATAATTTTAAAGACTCATAAATTTCAATTAGCAATTTTTTTCTCAATATTTTTTTCCAATTTACAATCAATTTTTTAATTATTAAATACGATATCCTTTTATTCACTTCTTCACATTAAAACTTTTGAAAGTATTCAATAATGAATTAATTTGTTATTCGCCGAGTAAACTCCGAAATAAAGAAAAAAGTAATGAATGAGTCAGCTAGTACACAAAAGTGAAAACATAAAGGAAAACCCCGGACAAGAATTAATTCGTGTAATCTATTAGTGATTGCAGAGATAATCTCATGCCTCCCCCTATAATTAAAACCACAACGCATATCAACACACACATAAAAACACAGTAATTTTTATTTCCAAAAGTTTATATTTATTCTAGTGTATATTATGGATATTATTTATAACAAATAATAAGGGCTTTAATAAAAAAATGGATTTTGGTAATAATAAAAAGAATAAAAAGATAATGACCGACATATTTATATTTAATATAAAAAAACTAAGCTTAGGCAGAAAATTTATTGTTTAAAAGGTTTTTTTCGTAATAAAAACCCATATTCCATATGTTTAGTACAAATAAAAAAAATTTTCTGTTTTTTAATATTATTAAACAATTTTATATCTAAAACCTTGGAATTTGGCAATGCCCAATATAAAAGTTAGAAAAAAACAAAAGGTTATATGGTGTAAGTCATCTAAAGTCATCAAAAAAAATTATGTAATTTCAAACCACTAAGGTACAATGAAATAGAGTTTTTTTATTGCCACAAGATTATCTTTTTTATTTAGTAAAAGATCTTCTAAACGTGTGACCAAAACAAATTATAAAATTCAGTTGACATATTTTTTTTGTAAGCAATCAACAAACAATACCTTATTGACTCTTCCAATTAAAAAATACCAAGACTAAATAAGCAAACCGCACATTTGGAAAGCTAGAAATGTTAAAATAACAATTGAATAAAATTTTGGAATATACATCAAGTGAAGAAGACTCATATAAAGAAATTGATTATGCAATTTATTTGAATTATTAATCGAATTATTCATTTGTTCGAATTATTTATTTCATTTGTTTATTTGTTTGTTATTCGAATTATTTGTTTATTTGAATTATTATTATTATTATTATTATTATTATTATTATTATTATTATTATTTGTTTATTCATTTATTCGAATTATTTGTTTATTCATTTATATATTTTATTTAATCCATTATTAATTCGTGATACGTGAACCAACTGCAATAATTTCATAATAGAAGTTGGCGCAAATTTTCGCAGATCACTAATTGAAATTTTCCGGAACACGTACTTCACTCCTAAAAAACTACTATCTATACGAATTTATAAATTGTATTTGCAGATGTAATAATAATAAATAATAAGAAATCCAAAGTTTTAATATACAAATTTTCAAAGGGATTTTCTTATAAAATATTTTATCTTTATATGGAGAGACCGCTTGATTCTTGCCTAAAATTGCTATAAGATTCAAGTATAATATTTAATTATTTATTTAGATGTTTGGTTACTTTGAAAAGTTTAAATTTTAAATTTTAATGTCGCGCGTAATCATGCTTAATCACGTGAGGGA